TTTATGTGTAGTTATTATGCGCGTTTTTGTGTAATTAGTAAAAACAGGTGTCCGGATACTTTTGTCCAGGGTGTGTAGTTGGGTAATTAAAAAAGATCCATTATTATATTATTATATTAATACTAACACAGTCACAACGGACTATAATTAAATCCTTGTCATAACGGATTTTTAAAAATTTGCTTCATTATCATATATTAATATATAAAAATCCGTTATATATATTGAGAAATATTATAATTAAATCGAGGTACGTACATAAATTAGGGCATGCTTGCAACAAACCCAAAGTGAACATTTGTATTATCAAGAATTTCAGGGTTCAACGAAAAAATTTATTGATCACTAAAAATAGAGTCGCATGCAAATTTCGGCCATTTTTATTTTTAGATCAAAATAAATGCAGGTCCTCCTTCAGCTTCAAAAAATAATAATATAGATTCATCTATGACTTATTAATTGGCCTTTTTTTGGTCTTTTCCTCATTATAAAAACTACCAGCTCTGTAATACAAACCAAAAAATCGATAAAATGATTAGCAAAATAGAGAATATAGACCTAGTAATAGTTGGTGAAAAGAATAAGGAAACCGGCTGCAACTTTTGATGATGGTTGCTACCATCTTTGCGTCATATAAAAATGATTGCAACCGCCTTTACGACCATTTTGTTTCCTTTTTTGGATTGCGACATGGAAACACTAGAAAAGAAATACTTGAAATAAATTGAGATTTCATAGAAAGACTTTACACAACTATTTGATAAAAAGATTGGATTGAATCCTGATTTTTCATTCAGCAAAATGGCTAATGAAATTCGTGAACTACTTGGAGAAAGGAGTTGCTGCATCTACTATTAAAAAATTCTATTACTATCAACGATCCTGAAAACGATAGAAGCAATTCAGGAATGGTCAACAAAGAAAAGTGGAGAGCGAAGTCGACAAAGATAATGAAAGCAAAGAAGATACAAATATTAATAATAACATTATTGATAATAATAGCAGTAGTAATAGTGAAAATTAGATTTGGCAGAGTGCCCAAAGAATAGGTAATACTTACAAATGGGTATTTTCCTCCCATGCAATAATTTTTTCTTTATTATTAAAAATAAAATTCCAAGTCATGTGTCCACTATTCTATCATTGGTCGAGATTATTTATAAATCGTATCTAAATCAAAATAATTAATTGACATCGTTTTTTTTTAAAATGGCACCATTAGAAGAAGTAAAAAGCAAATTAAAAAATGCGGAGGAGAAGTTAGCGAAGGCAGAGAAGTTGGAGGAATTTATGAAGGAGGAAAACTCGATGAAGTTTATAGAGTTGTGGGGGATGGAAGATTTAAGGGAAGAAAAAGAGACGTTGGTAAAGGAAAAAAACGAGTTGATGGAGTTGAAGAAAAGTTGGGAGCTATTGTATCAAGAGCTATTATGTGGAGGGAAAGATAATGAACAAATTGCGCAAAAAAATATACAAAAATTATTCCATTTCGGTTTATTAATTCATTTGAGGGAATGTTTTTTTTTTATTTTTTATCTATTATAATATTTATTTAACTAACATTTTGTGTTATTTTCATCTATTTATCACATAGTACATAATTTGCCTGATGACTTGGAATATAAACCTCCCTCTCCATTATTATAAACGGAGGGACTATCATGGGATTACCAGCCATCGATTAATTTGGTAGAGAAGTTGTAATGTTCTGTAGTTGAATACTATCACACATATAAAACGACAAAGTTAGACAAATCGAATACTCCACTTTATTTTATGGCCTCTAGTGCCGGAAGAGGAAAATCTCGAAATGCAACTGAATTATCTAAAATTTTGCGCAGTTTATTTGTTGATGACCAGGAGCTGCAAGAACTGAAGGAACGTCTTGATAATGCTATGGTCTTCAATCTTTCATTTGAGAATGCTACTGCAATTGATCTGAGTGTGGAGAGGTCTGCCAGTAATGCTATTGGCAAGCAAATGTTGTTTCAACTCATGGAATCTGAGAATTGGCTCGAAGTACGTGATAAATATAAGGGAATTGCACCAAGGGATGTGTTACAGAGGATTTCTAAGGACATGAAATTTAATGATCTAACTGTTATTATTATTATCGACGGATTGCAACGGCAATGATAACACCAAATGATGGAAAGTATGGGTCTTCCTTATTATACTCCTGTATGACTCAATTATCTCTTCTTGCTTATGTGGGTCCATTCGTCATTAATTGTTGCACGGCAACTTCCAGTCGCCCTTTCCACGAAGTTGTTGCATATTCACATCAAAAACGTATCTATCTTCCTATACACTCTTTAAACCCTCCACAAAGACAAGGAAAGCAAACAAACCTCTTCTAAATATACTTGTTAATGACATGGGCGGGCATGCTAGAGCTCTAGAGGCACTTGAGATAGCCATCAAAGGTAAAGACTTGGATAATTGCAACTTTGCAGAATTAATGAATGAGATACGTGTGAGACTTGTTGACCGTTATAGTGAATGGGTTTGTAAGAGCATCTATTTAAAACCAGTCCTTCAGATAATATTGTCACAGAAAACTAACTATACATGAGAATTTCATCATCCCCGAAACAGAAATCAGAATTGCAGAACTCTCACAATTGGGACTGGTTCAGTTTATGAATGATGAGGGAGAAACCGATCAAGGATGATTGTCTTGTCCTTACATATGGATTTGGATAATGGCGAACAAGTCAGATGATCCTATTCTTAGAAATTGTAATTTCAAAGTATGGATGAACTGACTGTTACGCCAGGATACCAATATTGGCAACATTTTGAAGATTTCATTGCTAGGTTTCGTGTGCTCAAATCACAGCTATATGGTTATGGGGACAATGTTCTGTTGGAAGAGTTTCACAAAGGAGCAAAACATAATTTTTACAATTTAACAATCACAAATAAGCCACTATTACTTGAAAAGGCTGTCAACAAAGTAAGCACCAAATCAAGCAATAGTACCGCAAATGTAATGTGTGAAAACGGTAATGTGAAAATTAAAGAAGCCTCGCGCTGTATTATCAATGCCACTGGAGCTCCGTCTGGTGACTGTTTCTGTCCTATTTATTTTACTGGCACATCACAGCTTTGTTTTGAAAGTTATCAATATAAGCTTTTGAAAAATGCTTCAATAGATCAGAAAGAATTTAGAGTAGCATAGTTAAAAATCCTTTTATGGATAGATCTGCGTTACACACATTTAATAGACTTTTCAAAAAAAGATCTACAATTTATATGTAAAGAGTATTGTAAAATCGAAAAAGTACCACTTAGAAAAGTGGCGCTGCACACACTAACCAACACCATTTCAAACTTTGCAAAATAATTCTATTTTTATTTTTACTTTAAGATCAAGTTTGAGCTTACTCAGATCAAGTTTGAGTTTTGACTTTTATTAGTACCAAAGTTTACCATAAATTTCATTTATTTTGGTCATAACATCCAAATTTGTTGATGATCTACATGCTCAAATGCGCGTCAAAAAATCAAAATAAGTCTCACTTTTTATTTCATTATTAATAAAAATGAACAAAAGTACAAAAAGAAATTTTGGTCCTTGCATAGTATGTGGCAATCAAGAACCTAATAAAACTTATAGAAAGATTAATGCACAAAATATTTTAAAAATAAGTCAAAGTCCTAATATTGAAAATATAAATTTTCAAGTTGATGACCAATTGTGTCAAAAGCATCACAATGAATTAATTAATTATGATCGTAATAATAACCCCAAAATTGGACAAAAGCAAAAAAGTAATAAAGATAAAAGTTATCATCAAGGTGGAACATATCCAAAACGTGTTTGTTTGACCCAAGAAAAATATGAAAATTTAATTGAAAAAATAGATGAATTGCAAGAGCATACAAATAAATTAGAAATTGAATTAGAACAAGCATTAAGTTATATAATAATATATTATTAACAAATTATTTATAATTATTATTATTGCTAATTATTTTTTTTATTATTAGAAAAAGAAAATTTTGCAGAACTCTTTAATGATAAAATTAAACGTCTTACATCTGTATTATATGCTTTGCAACATAAAAAACACCAAAATCCCATTACTGATCCTGAAGATTTTGTTAATTATATTGAATCAGAAGATATGGAATTAAAAGGATTTTTTGAAATTATATATCAATCAATCAACCCTGCTTCAAAAAATGAAGCTACAAAAAAACAAATAAAAACCAAAATTATGTTCATATGTTATCAACTAGCTGCAATTCAGAATAAACAAGTTAGTGATATTAAATCATCTATAGGACTATTTATGTCAGGGTGTGGTACATCTGCAATTGGAATTGATTCACTTGCTGGGATAGGTTTGAGTTCCACCTATCAAACTGTTTTTAACAGAATGAACATTATAATAAAGAATCATAACCCATCAGTAGAAGCTTATGTTAAATTAAATGTAAATGTATATAAAGATTAATAATACTTAAATATATATATTTTTATAATTTCCAATTAACTTTTTTTATATATTAGTGTCAAAATCTTTTGGTGTTAAACATTGATGACTACCATAATCTACATCAATCAAGACTTCCAAGTACCACATCTATTTCTCAAATCTCACATATGGCAACACTACTCATTAATAAGATTGATGCTCCAACAATTCCAATTAGTTCATCTAATATACATAACCCAAATGGTGTTGAAGCAGGCTTACTAAAAAATTTACTAAGAATGAATTTCAATAATATTGTTTGTGAAAGCTATAATCAAAATAAAATGAAATGGATCTTTGTAACTGATATGATAGACTTAAATGAAGATGACTTAATTGATTCATTGATTGTTCATTCTTATGATGCTGATTTAATAGAGACACATTCCAAACATTCCTTTAAATTTACAAAGCTAATTGATTTCTTACCACAAAATTTAAAGAATGCTAGTGATTATTTAAAATGTCTGGATATCTTTTTCAGGTTGAACTATTAGTTTTAAAAAAGAATTAATATTTTCATAAAATTAATATTTTATTTTTTATTTTTTATTTTTTTAGCTTTACTGAAATTCAAAATTATCTTGAGCATTCTATAATACCAGTTCCTGCAGATTTTCCAGGGCAGCTATATATTAGACGCTCCATCATACAAAAACTCAAGCTCAATGAATTATCTCCAATACCAAGCATTGTCACTCATCTTGTGCCTTTTTTAGGTGCTTTACATGCTTCTCTTAATACTCGTGAAAGTTGCTTTTTGACATTTTGGAGTTTCTTCAATGAATTTTATAAGGCTGTATTTCAAAAAATAAAAAATTTGCCAGCTAAACCCAAGCCTTGGAAAATTAATATTTTGCTATATGTAGCTCATGCATCATGGAAAATAGTCAGGAAGCATGTTATTAAACGTTTTGATAAAAGCAAGGATTTGGCATATTGTACCTTTTTTGATTTATTAGATTCCTTGATACCTTCTACTTTAGATCTTTATGTGGTGCTTTTTCAGAATAATCATTTTGAAGAATATATTGAGACAATATTCAGGCTGTGGACAATGATGTGTCGATTTCAAAGGAAAAACTATAATAAGATAATACTTGCATTTTTATCAGATATTCAATATTGGATTAAAATTGATCATCCAATCATTCAAATACTTAAATCCCACCTCAATGCTTTTGATGAGTACCCTGTGGAGAACTTTCACAGTCTTGTTAGAAGGCACACAAATGCAAAAATCTTAGTTCCAGAATGGTTAAGACGTGATGGAATTTTTATTGATTATCAACGTCATGATAATGACTTCACACAAACCTTTAGAGTCAAAAAGACATATCCATACTCTAAACAGAATATTGATATAATGGTAAAAAGTGGTGCAATATTTTTGTTAAAACTTTTTGACAATTTTTCAAAAAATTCTGGTAAATTTGAGGTGAAGAAGGAAGGAAGAAAAATTAAAAAGCCATACTGGTATTTCCCGGGAATTGCTAAAGGATTTCCTGAAGGTGCACTTCCAATAGGATATCATTTAAAACAACCCCCAAAACCTAACCATTTCTGTGATGCAAATGAATGCAAAAATCTTTCTATGATTAGTGGAAGTGTTAAATTATGTGGTCATGCTTATCATGATGATTGCTGGAATAAATCTGATTGCATTTGTATTCATTGTCATAGTTATCTCTCAGCTTCAATTGATGAATTGTCCAAGTCATATAATAAACGATTAGAAATGGATAATGATACTCAAAATGAATTTGAACCGCCTAAAGATGATTTATTGGAAGAAGAAACAAATAATATTGATGAAATCCCTGCTTATGAAGAGTTAAACCAAAGATTAGATAGAATGCTTACAGGTAATTCAATGTCATTATATATTATATATTATATAAATTCTATATTATATGATTTGTTAAGTATATCAATATAATTAGATTTTGATGAAAATAAGCTGTGAAATTAATCCTCTTGTCAATTTAATCAGTCGTGAAGAAAGAAAAAATTTTTAGAAGAAATCTTTAAATAATAAAAATAAACGATTATTTATTTCAATAAAAAATTGAAATGTTGCGTGCATGATTTTTATTGGTTAATTTCGCTTGATTTTTTGTGATACAATAATAGCCAATGATAGGATTTTTATCTATGCTAATTATTTATCCTATTGGTTTTTTTTTTGGTAGGACAGGCGCGAATTGATTTTTTTTTTTCTTGGAAAAACAATTTATTTTTTGACAGAGTCCAAGGCGACAAAACGTGAGTGTTGTTGTTTGGTTTGGTTTGGTCTCCTAAAGAAAAGGTGTTAATAACTAACAGAGGTACTATTTTTTATTTGTATTGATATAGTATGGTATCTTTTTTGGTTTATAAATATTTTAATTGGAAATCAAAAAGCAGAGCAGATCTTGCTGGGTAATTACAGTATTTTCATTGATAATATTTTGTTTTTCGTGATCATTAATAATAATATTATAAACATTATAAACACAAGAAGATGTCAAGGCAGAATAATTGAAAAAGAAACATTTTGAGTATGTGACGTTTGATTATCGGAAATTTACAGGTGTTGAAGCACGCATGCTGCCTTGAACACACATTACAGTCATTCTCACACCTTCCTTGTGTACACAAGGCTAATCTGACCATGGCTCTCCGATGATACAACGATGCAACGGAACTCCAGGGGGAGTGTATGGCCCTGGAGTTTACCAATACTGCACAGTGTTCGAAATTCGACTGCGCCTTTACATAAACTAATCTAATTTTAGAAATTATCTGCGGTTAATTTCCATATTTGGTTAGTGCACGCCAATTCCGCCAATTGAATTTCGAACAGTGATACTGCACCAATTGTCAAGGACACTTTCACTAATCTCCCCAGACCAGAGATGGCTGCTGGCATGCTAGCCAAAAAGTCGCCTGCAACGATCCTGCCTCTAGGGTAAGGATGGTACTGTGACCAAGTTGCAACTCTGCTGATGAATATTAAGAGAATCTGCAGCTCGTTCAAGCACAGGGGGTCACAATTCAGAGCAGGGTTGGTGGCCCTGAAATTGCATTTGGACTCTGATGTTAAGAGGAAAGTTGTTAAAATAGTGTTTGTTTTGTATAATCACTTTCATAAATGCTCTGTTTTTCTGATGCTAACCAATTTATAATTTTGGGTAGGAGATTGGATGGGTTTTTGCCCAACCAGTCCTTTGTCTTGTAGATTAAAATTATCACATGATTATATACATCCTTGTCAGCAATATGGCCAACAAGAAAAAAGCCATAAAAATGGTTTGGATTTTGTTTGGTATGTTATGTTATAAATTAATCATTTTCCCAAATTTTCTGTTTCTCTTTAATTTTTGTTTGACCAACTGAACTTGTTATTTAAATAAATGGGGGTAGGGTTGTTGGTGAGTAGGAATGCCGCTGACAAGACAGGGGATGCCTTTGGGATATACCAGCCAAACTCATAGAAAGGGATCCTTTATCCAGACTTAGGGCCACATGGGTGTTAAGCACAGAAAATGTACACTATCAATGTATATTTTTTTCAACGAAATAAACATTTAAATAATTAATTGTTAAATATTAATACTTTTCTTTTCACAAAAATTACAGCAACCCAGGACTCAAAACTCTGAATTCGGGGAAAATCCAAAACAGCAATCCAGGTTACAACCTCTTGAGTTGCTGAATTCTCAACCCAGTCTTAACACCAACTTTAATGCTAGTGTGGCAATAACACAAAGCAAACATCACACAAGCACCAGCTATCAGCAATCAATGCCCATATGGAAAACAGCCAAGCCTGGTCTGAGAGGGAGATAGGAGAATGTTTTGTCCAAAGCCTTCCAACATGTTTTAGTCTGTTTCACCTGTGGAAAGGAATCCATGGTGCTGAATTGTGCTTAGTTGCACCGTCTTGCATGTTTGTGACAGGAAAATTTCAATTAAATCTGACACCTGTGATCAACATCAGATTTATTATTCATGAGCAACCATAATTGATAATTGGGAAAAATAATTTATTTTTGTGAACCCCAGAGATCTGGGTAGACACGCATTATTAAAAGTTTCATTTATGCATGGCCTTGGTATCATTACTACTTGGGTGATGCAATTGTTTGTTATGTCAATGATGATATTAAATGTATTGAATAATAATCATGACCATCATGAATATTTGTTGGATGGAGGCATTCACATACAAGGAAATAATTGAATAGCTAAGTCATGTTTTTTTTATTAAAGATGTATGATTAATTGTATTTAAAATATACAATAAAAAAATTGCATGGAAACCAAGACTGCACCACTATGTCAATCAAGCCATCAAGCTGTTATGCTTGTGCATGATTTAAAATTCTTTTTGTGCTGATTTAGGGTCCCATCTTTCTTTGCTTATATATAATCTATTGGTTCTCTTTTTACTGGTCAAATGATGCCAAATTGGATAATGGGGTATTCAGCAAAATATCAGAATCTGATTATTCTTTAAAAAAATAATTTTGGTATTAGCATACTGATAAGTTAATAATATTCTTAGTATTTTTATCATATATTCTAAAAGCATACTAGTAAACGTTGAACATGCCAATATTTATCAGATAGTCTTTTAAAATTAATCCTTTAGTAAATTATTGGCTTAGTTTAATAAACCAATAACTCTTTTATATTGTAATTAAATTATTGGTTAACTATTTAAATTATCAAATATAAATTTAATATGACATTAAAAAAATTTTAGGAATCCAGTTTGATTCAAATCAAATTGACTACAGATCAAATCAAATCAAATTGAATCACTCTCAAATTTGATTTGATTTGATTCATTCAGAGCCTTAAGAATATCTTGTCAGAGTCAGACCTCTGTGACAGCAATTCACTATTAGTTCCAAATTTTCCTAAATTCATTTCAGTATTGTCTAATTCCCTGTGGATATCAGCTTCTCTTGAAACTACTTGTGCTTCAACAAAAGGTGGTCTTGTAAATTCCAAATTATCTTCTAAATTAGAGATAAATTCTTCCTTAAATCCACTTCAAAATGAAAACGAGGTTGGCAGTGTGTAAATTTCAGTGTGTAACTAATGCAGATTTCTACAAATTTAGAAACTATCTGCAGAAAACTGCTAATGTA